TTAAAAGCCAAGTGACAAAAAAGTCAGTATTTACTTGAACCTAGTGATGAATCTTAGTTTCACTTAAAAATAAGCCTGATAAAGTTTACATATGTTGCAGCTTCACACAAAATTTCTAGTAATAATGTAAGAAAAAATAGTCTTACAACATATAAAGGACTATGAAGCCTAAAGTAATGTCAGTGAACCAAATGTAGTTTAATTGTTTAATTATTTTTATTTCAAATGTATTTTAAAAATCATAAATGAGGTTTTGTAACCCAAAGCTGAAAGATTCATTCTTCATAGGTTCAGAATTTGACAAGCAATTCAAAACCATACTTTCCAAATCGAGTCTTTATCGCTATTTTTCACACCTCTCAGATCTAGTATTAAACAACTCCATTCTAAATGTACAGTTTTAGATGATAATTATAAACTTGTTGATAACTTTTCTGAAAGCAATGTATCAAATAGAATGGCTTCTCAGGATCAACAGTTAGGGAAGAAAAATTAAATTATCTATAAAGAAATCATTTATCCATTTAAAACATAACCAGTGCTGTTCGCTGTCATAAAAAAGAACATGTAAAAATTAATTGAAATTATTTTTATAGTCTTTGGTAATATTTTATTTCCTACGCAAGCCTTCAATGCTGCTTAAAGTTCTTTTACACATAGTAATCACCATGATTTACTGAGTAAAAATTCCAGGTATTAACATAGTCCTTAAAATATGCTATTCCAAAGAGAAATGGAATACTTTTGAGGAAAAGAACTGCCTTAGTAAATTCCCTCAAATGTTCATTTAGAACAAAAATAGTTAATGAGAATATTTTTAAGCCAGCTTTGGGTATTATATGGCATACTGCTCACCAAACAAAAAAGGAAATTAAAACTTTTTTTATTTTTTAGAGAATTTCTTTTTTTTTCCTTTTCTTTTTTTATTTTTTGAGGTGGAGTCTCCCTCTGTTGCCCAGGCTGGAGTGCAGTGGTGTGATCTTGGCTCACTGCAACCTCCACTGCCCGGGTTCAAGCAATTCTCCTGCCTAAGTCTCCAGAGTAGCTGGGACTACAGGCACCTGCCACCACCCCTGGTTAATTTTTTTTTTTTGTATTTTTAGTAAAGACAGGGTTTTACCATATTGGCCAGTCTGGTCTTGAACCCTTGACTTTGTGATCTGCATGACTCGGCCTCCCAAAGTGCTGGGATTTTCTATTTTCTGTTTCCCTGTACTGCCATTCACGTTATATTGAGGATTTTTTTAACTTAGTTTAAGACTGAATTTATGCCTTTTATAAACATAATAGGTATAAATACCTTTTGAAAGCATTCTGGAGTATGTATAGCTTTCATGAATTAAATTTAATAGGCCTGATTGAAGTGAAGGGATTTATTTGTTAAAGTGAACTTAGTCAAATAAACTACCCATTGGAATATAGGCCAAGTCACTAACTGCCTAAAATTTGGATGTTTGTACTTTTATTTTCTTCTTCCTTTCATAAGTGTATATCTCAAATTACGTCTCTAGCCTGTGACTTGAGTCTATTGAAGTCCTAGGAAAAGACCCTTAAAACAAATTCCTAAGGGTTCTGAATTCAGATATAGGAATTCCATTAGCTTCTCTACAAGAGCTGAACTGCTAGTGCAATCTCCACTACGTGAATGGCATTGGTTGTTCTATAAATCCTGCCAAGATCATCACAATATATGCATCATCAAGGCTCCTTTTACAATCTCAAGAAGAACAGATAGTTTTAAGAAAAATATGTGTCTCCATGTGTATTAAGTAATATTGTCTTTAAGTCATTTCTTCTTGCCACTCTTCACAGTGGGAAAATTACCAAATTAAACCTATTTTAGGGTTGGGAACTTGGAGCATAGCAAGAAGTTGGGGGTTTTAATTCTAGTCTCAGTTCTCATCTCTTTTTAAAAATTATTACTAATCAATTGCTCTGATAAGAGGTGGTTTCAATGTGAATAGCAAATTTTGATATATTGTAACTAAGGTTTAGGAACGTTTGTCTTTAGAGGAAGATGTTATAAGTAATATTAATGAAGGACCAAATATACCGTATATATCAACAATTTAATCTTTGACTGTATGTTACTGGGTTAGCTCCCTCCTCCTGTGCGATGGTACCATGCATAGAGTCAGTCAAATCCTTGTAATGTTTTGTATGAACTTTGACAATGTAAATAATGTGCAAAAAAGTTTATATAATTAAGAAATCAAATTTATTGAATTTTATTATTGAAAATTGAAATTAACATGTATCAAAAAAATAAAATAATATAATCTTTAAAAACGAGCCTCAATACAAGTAAACCTTTGGATCTAACTACCAGCTTATAGAAAATACGGAAAAGAGGGGAGTAGGTTAAAAGTCACCCTGGTTTTAAAACAAATTAATAATATATAAAAGTAAAAGCAAAAGTGATAGGGGACTACAAAGCAAAAAAATTTTGAGGGATATGGCACCAAATATAGCACATGCACTTTGTCTAGGTCTTTACCTGAACAATAAACTATAATAATATAGGTTTATAAAAATAGTTGAGTACATAAGATATTAAAAAGAAAAAAATAAAGGGAAAAAGCCTCTCTGTAATGATGAAAGTGATTGTACAACATTACAAGAAACTAAAGGGTCTTATGAACTAATTCAATTAAGAATCCTTTTTTATATCTTGTAAAAATAAAAAGAAAAGAAAAGCTAGGAAAGACATTCTGGAATTCTTGGAACAGTTGAGAAAATTTGAGAATGGGCAGCATATTAGTTTCTGTGAAATTATTGTTAATTTTCTCTGATGCAATAATATTATGGTTATGGAAAAATAAGTTACTTTTTTAGCAGTGGTTCAGAATGCTTTCTACTTACTTTCAAATTGTTAAAATATATACCAAAGAGTTACATTCTTTTTTTTTTTTTTGAGACGGAGTTTCGCCCTTGTTACCCAGACTGGAGTGCAATGGCACGATCTCGGCTCACCGCAACCTCCGCCTCCTGGGTTCAGGCAATTCTCCTGCCTCAGCCTCCCTAGTAGCTGGGATTACAGGCACGTGCCACCATACCCAGCTAATTTTTCTTATATATTTAGTAGAGATGGGGTTTCACCATGTTGACCTGGATGGTCTCGATCTCTTGACCTTGTGATCCACCCACCTCGGCCTCCCAAAGTGCTGGTATTACAGGCTTTACATTCTTATTTATTTATCTTTTCAATGCTAACATTCTGGGATTTATTTCCTTATATCCAGGCTTCTATTTATTATTATATTTTTTAATTTCAAGTTTTATTTTAGATTAGGGGGTACACGCACAGGTTTGTTATGTAGGCACATTGTGTGATGCTGAGGTTTGTGGTATGGTTGAGCTGGTCACCTGAGTAGTGAGAACAGTACTCACTGTTCCCAATAGTTTTCACCCCTTGGCCCCTCACTTTCCTCCCTCTAGCATTTTTGTTTCCATCTTTATTAGATGGAGAAGTTCGAATATGGACTTGGCATTAGAGATATTAAGAAATTGTTGTCTGTTTTGTTAGATGTAATGACATTTTAGAAAATCAGTACCCCAAATTCACAGTGGCTGGAGTACTAATAAAACTCCAAAGAAGTTAAGAAATTATCAGAAAATTAATAAACTGTACTCTCAGTAGCCACTGAAAATATGACTCTCTCTCTCTCTCTACACACACACACACCACACACACACACAGCAATTCCTCAATTTAGAGTACAACATGCCGGTTCAAAAAGTTACAAAAATTGAGTCAAGAGAAGCTATGGTGCACTGATGAAAACACACATCATAAAGATAAATTTTCCATGTATATGAAAGTAAACTAAAAAAATAGAAACACTCTTGGAGCGCTTTCTTAAATTCATCTTATTTTTCAATTTGTTCTTAATGTCAATCAACAAGATCTATCTTTCAAAGAGAGCAACAAATCGGCCCCAGCTCTTTCTCCCACGATTTGTTAAAATTCCTTATCTGTCTGAAAAGACCCTGAGCCTTCTTTGACCAGTTATCTAGTACAATATTCAAGAATATTAGGGTATCTAAAATCAAGATCAAAGGAAAAAGTAACTCAGAGAAATCAAAATCTCAAGAAAGATAATACAGGATACAGAAGGAGAAACATCTTATAGATGCCTTCCAGATTACTGTTACATTGTCACCCTCTGTTACTTTATTCAAGCTGGCCTATCAAGCTTGCTTCCATATTTCTGCAGTGAAACCATAATTCTTGAGGATATCAATAACCTCTATGATGTCAAAATCCAAAGGTCACATTTCTGGTCAAATTTTACTTAACTGTGTAATGATCTTCAAACCTGTTGCCTAAATTCTACTATCTTTAAACACTTTTCATATCTTGGGCAGTGCTATGTCATTGGATACTTCTCTGCAGTCTCCATAGTCCTTCCATTTCAAGGGACCTTGAAAATTATTGTGTTCTAGGCTCAGTTTTCTCTCTGATGTTTTCTTAAGGTTGTCTCACAATGATTGTATCCAGTTATATGATGGTACAATTAATCTTCACACTGTGACTCCCCTAAACTTACCATGGTCCAAAAATCTTCAATTACTTGCTTTCCAAATTTCCCTTCCTTCAAAACCAGTTGGTAGAGTTTGGATATTTGTTTGTTTCCAAAACTCATGTAGTATTGTAATTCCCAATGCTGGAGGTGCGGTTTGGTGGGAGTTGTTCAGATCACGGCGGCAGATGCCTAATGGCTTGGTGCTATCTTTATTCTAGTGAGTTTTTGCAAGATCTCATTGCTTTTGCTTCATCTTCCGCCATGATTGAAAAGCATGTTCAGCTTTTGGGGTTTTTCTAATGCTAGGAATGTCTCAGGATTATAATTTTAATTAGTATTTCAAATACTTCGAGTGAAGTTAAACATCTTTTTTATATACTTATGAGACACTTGTATTTATTTCTTCCCAGTCTTATTGGGTTGGTCTTCAGTTATTTATTTAATTTGAGGGAAGCATATTAACATTAAAAATATATACTTACCTGTCAGGGGAGATACCATGATCACGAAGCTGGTTTCCCAGGGCGAGGCTTGTCCATTTTGCTCTGGATGTGCTGACCCTTGCGATTTCCCCAAATGTGGGAAACTCGACTGCATGATTTGTGGTAGTGGGGGACTCCATTCACGCTTTCCCCTGAAAAAAATTGTACTTTAGGACATAGATGGCAAACATTATTTCTAATTTGACATGTATGTTTTAAGAGTTTTGAAGCATAATTGGTCAAACTTTGCCTTTATGGCTTTGAGTCATTGTTTATCCCACTCTCAGATTATGAAGCCTCCACTAAGTATTTCATCTTGTGCCTATGTGTTCATATCTTATTTTTTGATTATAAATATTTGATCCATTTGGAATGTATTCTGATGTATACTATAAAGAATGTATTCAATTTAATCTTTCTTTTTTTATATGGCTAGCCTGTTGTGCAAAAGCATTAACTCAAAGTTCTGCCTTCCACCACTAATTTGGAATGCTTTCAATATCATATGCAAAATTCGTGTATGTACTTAAGTTTGTGTCTGCATTTCCCATTGTTTTTCACTGATCTTTCGGTATAGGCATTTGTCATTACTACTTTTTTTCCAATATAAAGGCCTTTTAGTACATTTTAACGTATAGTATACTAACCATCTACTTAAACATAGCTTTTATTTTTCAGGGCTTTTAAAGGGATATTCTGCTCCTCCTCTCACGAATTTTATAATCAACTAATCTAACAACAAAAAACATAACTCATGATATTTATTTTGGACTTATGTTAAATTTGTAAATTCTTAAGGAGAACTGACATTGTATTATGTTTTATTTTTTGATCTAAAAATATAGTACTTTATTTATTACTTCAAGGGTACTCCCATGTTTTTCAAGACTGTTTTATAGCTGTTCTCATACTTATTTTTTCATCGGCTTTTTCATAATTCTTTGTAGGTCCATTCTAGGCATATTTTTATTTTTGCAACTGTAAATTGGATATTCTAGTTTATGATATAACTGGTTTTTGTTTCTATATATGAAAATATTGATTTATCATTGTAAATTTTATGTTACTTCTCTAAATTTTCTCTCCATGTTTCATTGTTGCCAATCACACAGTCTCACCATTTACAATTATAGTTTTGCCATTTTCTTTTCCAAATCTCATGTCTCTCATTGTTTCTGGTGGGCCAATTCCCTCATTTTTCAAAATCGATATTACATATCAATGGGAATAGCATTTACCTTAGTCGTGTTTCTGAATTTAATAAGGAGTTTCTTTGTGTTTTCCCATTAAAATACCAACTTAGGGCTAATATATTCATAACTGTTAAATAGTGTCTGAAAATATCTATCAAATCCTTTGCTATTGAGCCAATTTACAGACATGTATGGGCATTCAATAATGCCTCCATATATGAAGATCATCACATGATTTTTCCCAGAACGATAACACACTTCTGTTATTCAGGCTCCCTTGTATTTCTCTTTCAACTCACTTTATGCATATTATTTTTAAATGTACAATTTGATTTATACACTAGCATCAGTATTGAGATGGTGAAATATTAATTTTCATGTGTGTTTCTATATGCAATCTTTTCATTTTTGCTTATATTTATATAAATTTTATGAAAATAATGTGGATGTTTCCCTTATGTTGGATGCTCTGGATAGTTCAAGTAGCATTGGGACTTTCTGATTTATAAATTTTGTATTATTATCATGTGAGCTAATCTTGGCTGGCATATATTGTTATGCAACTTTTATAAGTTTCCATACATTTAAAAATAGAGAACTGTATTTTAAAAATTTCTTTATTGGGCTGGGTGTGGTGGCTCATGACTGTGAGCCCAGCAGTTTGGGAGGCCTAGGCGGGCCAATTACCTGAGGTCAGGAGTTCCAGACCAGCCTGGCCAGCAAGGCAAAACCCATGTCTACTAAAAATATAAAAATTAGCAGGGCGTGGTAGTGTGTGCCTGTAACCTCAGCTGCTCCAGTGGCTGGGGCAGGAGAATCACTTGAACCTTGGAGGTGAAAGTTACAGTGAGCCAAGATTTTGCCATTTCACTCCAGCTTAGGCCACAAGAGTGAAACTTCGTCAAAAAAAAGAAATTTTTATTTACCTTGGTAAATTATATTTTCCTAAAGCTAACCATTTCATCTAGATGTTCAAGTTTCAATGTTTTGGCAAAGAATTCATCAAAGTAGTCTCATGATCTTCTGCAAAATTTCTCTTTTCTGATAGATATATTTTACTTACTATTTCTTGTTATGTGTATTTGTGCTTTATCTCATAACAGTCTCATAGTGCCATTACTAATGCTACCACCACCAAATTGATTATCTAGACTGTATAAATCTTCCTATCTGCTCTGAAAATGGTCAACCACCACTTAGCCTGTATTTCCCTGCACTGAGAATCAGCAAGTGCCCTTAGAGAAAATACTGGGAGAAATACTGATTTATGTCAGCACTTTTCCCGTTTTTCTGGGGTGATGTTCCATGAAGTCCTGGTGGCTTTAGTTGCTCTCTGATGCTTTAAAATAGAAGTTGTAGTAGTAGTTGTTGTTGTTTGTTGTTTTATAAAACTTTATTCTTGAGGAAATAATACAATTGTTTGTGACAGAAGGATTAGTTTGAAATAAATCTTAATATAAGTCCTCTTACCATCTTGCACCCTATTATCTACAAGCAACCAGAGCAATCTCTCAAAATAAAAATCAGAGCATATCAGTTTCCTACCTTTAACCTTGCAAAAGCTTCCATTTACATTTCAAATTAAATGAAACTCATTACCATTTCTAAAGGACTTCATAAGCTGGGGCCAGATTACCGTCTTGATACTTTCTCATCCCACTTCCCTACTCTCACTTACAATTTACATATATTTTTCAATCATCCGAAGCTTGTTTTTCTTCTAGAGCTTCTGTATTTTCTGTTCTTTCTGTATGAAATCCTTCAGTACTGTTTCAGGATTAGCTCTTCCTCATCTTTCTAGTGTTGGTTCCAAGGATCTAGCTGCTTACGTCAAGGAAGCATTCCCCACCAGTCACTCTCTAGCACATTGCTGTATTTTATTTTCTTTGCAGCAATTATAATTTGGAAATTATGTTTTTTAATTAATCATTTTATAATTCATCAATGAGAGTGGAGAACCTGACTATGCTTTGCTCTAGTGTGTTTTAAATCCCAGTAGACTACCTGGCACATAACAGGTGCTCCAGATTGTGAAATGAATGATAATATTACCACTATTCTTGGCATAGGAGTAGTAAGTATCTGAGTTCCTCGACCAGATTATAACAACAAATAAAACTTGAGTTTGGGAAAATATATAACATTAAATATAACATCTAGAATCTGATCAACTCTCTATGAAGTTGTTTGCATAGGGTCAAATGGTTTAATCTTTGATGAGCTTACTGTTTTTGGCTATAAGATGAAGGAAAGTTAGAATACCTAAAATTTCCTTTCCAGTTTAAGCATTTTCTGATTTATTATGAAATAACTTTGACTTTTAACATAAACATTACAATATAATCTTATTCATTTTAAAAAATCAGTGTATTTGTTCTTTTGGAATTATATTAATGGAATTATTTTTTGGAGGAGAATTAAATTCTCATCTCAATTATCTTTATTTAACACCTTTAACAACTTTTTAATTATATGTAAGTATATTGTAATGTAAAATAAACAATATTTTGGGCAAAGATTAAAATCAAAATGAAAACTTTAACATAAATCTCATAGAGAAGAACATGGGTAATATTAAAATTTCCTAAGTAGTTTCTTCTCTGCATATTAAACTGGCTGTGATTTTACATGAATAATGGAATATACTAAAATTGGTGGCATAATTCTTTTATTAGAGCAGTTATGAGATGAAAAGACAAAATCTACTAGGAAAAGTTATAAAAAACACATCTCTCACAATAAAAAGATAAAGTTTGTCTCTTAACTTATGTTGCCTCTGATGTTATGAATATTAGATCATACTTTTAAATCCATTGGTAGTTTGTAAGACAGCTCATTTTTGATAAGCTCTGGCAATGCTGCTATAAATACAAAAAGATTTATGAACGTTTGCATTTAAATTACAAAATCCTTCGGTACATCTGAAGTGTTAACCTCACAGTTAAACTGAGTGCTTCTTTAGCATTTGAGGCACCTACCATGTTTTAGAATATAGATTAATGTGAAATGTCTTCATCTGCGGAAAAGTGCTTAAAACTATCTTGGCAATCGGGCTTCTGGGTATATTATAAAAGAACAAAATAGTCTCCCTTTTTAACCATTAAAAAAGTGATAACACTCAAACCTTTTTCTTCAAATATTGCCATTCATTTATAGAATGTAGTATTTTATAGCAATAATATAATTTTAACAAATTAAAAATCTTACATGAATGGTATAATTAAATGATTAAATTCCATTAAAAGGTCATATATGTCTGCAAAAAAAAAATTAACCAATGTTTACCTGTTTCAAGTTACAGAATCAGAAACTTGTGCAAAGGTCAAATGCAAATAATTTGTTGATAATTTAGTGGCAAATCACTATTTTGCAGCAATTTCAAACAGATTAGAAACACACTGCCATATTTTATGCTTTATAGACCTTCTATTTTAAAAATAAAAATATATTTATTATTTCCTATTATTACAAAATGGTTCATTAAAAATCCAATTAGAAAAAAATCATGTATAAATCAGAAAATAAAAGTTTTTTGTAGTCCTCAGCTCCAGGAGAAAAATATTTTTCTTTAATATTTGGAATATATCCTTTCAAAGCTTTTTCACAGATTACAGACATAACATTCTTCAGGAGGATGACTGTCAGTTGCTGCTATTTTCAAGTGAAATGACACACCAATGCAAGAAATTTACTCAATATTCCTTTAAACCAGTGGAATAGAAAGTGTCAAGACCACTGCCTGTCGGCTGGTAAGCAATGGTGGTGTTGCTGTGGCATCAAAGTGAATTCTGGGTGGTAAAAGAGAAGCAAGGCATGAAGTGAGTTAGTGAGTCATAATTTTTACACGGTCAAATGTAGGTTTTAAAATGCATTATTGAAATTTTACTAAATGTCTTACTAAATTCATAGACAAATTACATGATTTCAAGATATATATTGTGTGTGTGTGTGTGTGTGTCTAA